CTATCAGTTTCCCTACTTGTAATAGGGTTTGCAAGCGAACAGCATGGATCCTGATCAGACTGCGCGGATGCGCAGGCTGGTCTGGATCCATGCTGGTCGCAAACGCACTATGTTGGTTTTGTCGTAACGCAGCTCATTTATCAGAACTTTGTTATAAATGTACAGCCATTAGATGATTGTTAAGTAGAATTTTATAGCTTGTAAAAATAATAATGAACTGTTTATGTATACATATACATTTAAGCACCATGCCTCCAGATTTATTTTTATTTTCATACAAATTTTGAAAATGTATCTAAAAATAAATATATGCTGATGTGAGCAAAAAAGGTAATTTATACATTGAAATCGGCACGTACAAGCCACGCATATTTCCAAAAAAAAAAGAAAAAAAAGAAAAAGGAAGTCAAAATATGCAAAAATAGCTCTGTAGTGTTAATTACTGTCAACTCATCCCTTACTCGCACAGAACATGTAAATTGATAATCGTTATACTTTTCTATTATTCTTTTAAGTATATTTTTCTAGATCTTTTTTTGTTAAAATATTTTGGCTAATCTTGAGGCCCTTCAGCTTTAAAAGTTGCTATAGTGATAAAATTGAATACTTAATATGATAAATTAAATCATGCAAAAACATTAAAGACAAAATATTTTTTTAAGTAAGGCTTGTAATCTGTTTAAGCCAAATTCCGCAAACTTCAAGGTCAGCCCTGGTGATAATTGATTTCTACTGTAAACTATATAGATATACATCATGATGTGCCATCCAAACGATTTAATAATATGGTCAATAAATTATAACTTTGTATCACTTAATTATACCCGGTAAATAAATTTAAAATATAAGCTTTGAAACAATATCCTAACTGATACAATGCTTGATATACACATATTTTTACGCATTTATCTGAATTACTTCATGTGTCAATCATGTACGACAACCCTGTCAATTACTTTTTCATAAGGTTAACTCAATTATCTCCCTTAAATTAGGTTCACAGTAAGTATCTTTAACACGTTCTAAAGGAGATTAATTGGGTATATTTATTACATTAAATAAAATAATTATATTTATATGACTAAAAGAACATGTACTTTTCTCGATTTAATTAGAAAACTTAAGTTTCAGAATGTGTGTAATTTCTAACAATTTAAAGGAAAATAATCTTATTTCATATCAAATTGCGTATCAATAATATAAACCGCAAAAATTTAATGATTAAGCAGTAAACTTCCTATCTTTGCCTAAGAATTTAATATGTTTTAAGGAATATAAATACAAAGATACCAACAACAACAACAATCAAAGCTGAACTAACGAGTTAAAAGTTTCAAAACATTAAATAACCCTAGATGCTTATCTAAGATGAAGATTAACCAGTTGGAATGCAAAATTTCAATGTGATTTCACCGACCCCTGTTGTATAAACACTATAACTGCAAAACAAACATATCATTCGTATGCTAATACAGTGATAACAAACTCCATACACTATAAGATCTTACAGTGACTTAAACGATTGTGTATAGGCTAACGCAGCAGTCTGACCTAGCAGTCTGACCAGGGTCTTGAACTGCTCGCTTGTCATCACATTGAAAGCCAATTCATAGTTCAACTGTTCAATGCAGGTCGAATTTATTACACAAAATTAGCGATGCATGTACTCGATTCAATCTTGTTCAATAAAATTGCTCTTTATTGTCTATACCTGTAAATGCGCGTATTCTAGACGCGTATATATTTCAGGGCTATTCGTAATGCATGACTGACCAAAACTATGTTATACATGTATATATTCATGTAACTGTGTAATAATGACAGTGTGTACTTTAATTACATTATAAAACTTTATAAGCAAAACTATAATCCCCTACTACACCGCTGTTTAAATATCGAGTCTTATCAAAAACAAGCCTCAGGTCAACTTAATACAGTGTAAACATCATTCTACGATCATGAACTTTTACCGATTTATCTGTTCATCTTGATATTGAAATTTATACCGGTTATTGATTTAAATAGAAAAAAATACTTCCGGTTTATTATACATCTATATTTCATTAGTCTTTAATAACTTGCATTATAATGTCCTGATAAAACACAGAGTAATTTTTTTTTAAATGGTTATTTCAGCATATTAACATTTCTATATGGAAACATTTTCTTTGATAACTTCATGTATTGTATTTGATCGTTCTTTATCGTTAAGAATTACAAGGTAAATTGCATCAATGATATATTACAGGTTACAGCAACTCGACTTTTCAACGATAGATTACCTTCGATGCACCTGATAATTGAACTACCGAAAAACGAAAAACATTATTACAATACAAAACTCTATGTTTACCTTGTTTTCTTTTGCTGTATCGACGAGTAATAATTATTCCTCTGTTCACGCCCACATGCATACACAGAAATTCCACATTAATGATATCGGTACATAGTTCAGCGTTGTTTTTTGATGCCTTATCAAATGTCGCATGTCATAAACCTTTGACAAAGTAAATATCCGGGGTGTAGAGAAGGTAAAGAAATTAGTCAAAGGGGGACAACTTATGCTCAACTACTGATAAATAAAACGCTTGAATTACCCACCTGTCACATTCAAACACATTCAGTAGATTACTAGATTTAACTTAAGATAGACCCCTAGGAAGAAAAAGAGTGACGCATATACGGTTAGCTATCCATTCAAAGTAAAGTAAACGGACCGAATGAGAAATTCCTTGAGTATTGAACAGTAGACCTTAAACCATTTTGAAAAAAATTACATTAATATGATATTGGGTTTTAAAGTTACATTTAATAAATTTCATAAAAAACTAAATAGCGACATTTCATTAATAAATTGGGTTTTATATCGACTCCAAGTCTTATTTTAGTGTCCAAACAACCAAAATGAGTTTTATTAGCATAAAAATAGGTAACCTCATTGTGGCGAAATGGGAAGTACAATTTCTGTTTGCATGAAAAACTCCGCCTTCGGATCATCCTTACATCAGTGTTAAATCAACGAACATGACTATAAGTGGCAGTCCTAATTTAACGGTATATTTCCGCATTGTAACGGATGTTTTCATACAAATTTAATCTTTTTACGAGAGGATTACTTTTACTGAACCCTAGGTTTAGTGCACCGTGAAGCTTAAACGGTTAAAGTGTGTTTGCACAAGAAAATATCACATTTGCTGTGTTCCGTATAGCAACTATAAAACTGTGACGTAGCGCATACACGAGCTCATTATAGTCTTCATTTGCATGTTAAAATTCGTATACGAACTTTAGTGTTACCGTGGGGTTTCCCGTTTAAAATCCTAATTTATGAACAATATTTGATGAGATTTACAACAAAACTATTAAACAGGTTAATGAAACTGTAGAATGTTTGATTTTTAGGCCGACGGCAAAATATTTTTACATATTTATTTAATGTAACTTTAAGTTTGCTTTAATTTTAAGATGGTTAAATCATTCGTATTTTATAATCAACAAGTTAAACTACTCCAGGTTGACGTTTTCAAGGAGACAAAAGTTTACAACTTTCCAATTCTCTTGACCGAGATAAAAGCTTCTTTTTACACTATAATGAGTGATACTGCTCGTGTTTAACCGGCAAATCAAGCTACTTTAACAATCTTATGTTATGTCAGGGGTTTTATATTCAATTAAAGCCGTCGTCGTATCATATGTGTTCATATATGTCCAGAGTAAGATCAATTGAATAATACCTACCGGGATGGTCTAAATTTTGAGCAGCAAGTATCAATGCGTCTTTATATGTCACAGACTGAAAATAAGACTTAAAAAAAGACATATTTCTAATAATGCATTCTTACATTACCCATTAGGATTCAATATATCTTAAAGATTCCTTTTTTGTAGAGTTTAAGTAATATAGACAGACACATGATATGGCAAATGACAATTATTATAAGATTCTTTCACTTGTTACCGGTGCACACCGGACATCTAGCTCAAGGATATCTGTGTAGGCTACGGTGGTAACAAAATCCGGGCCCTGCTGCCGAGTTTTCGCTAAAAGTAATCGCTAGATTTTCCCGTCCGTGACAATAGCCGGTGTTTATTTTTCTTGCTTAAAACTTATAAATCATATACAAAAAGAAATTAAAAAAAAACAACTAATATTTTCATTTAGCAGTTCTTATTGTTGCGTATGAATGTACAACATATAATGGCAAAATGGTGTAAACCTAAGAACGCAGCGCCGAGAAGGACGTCATTTAGATCTGGCAACTTGTCTAACACGGCTGATGTTTTTCTAGCACCGGTCGTAAAAGAAGACGTCAACAACAATAACAACACTAATAACAACAACAACAACAACAACAATAATAACAACAACAACAACAATAACAACAACATACACACAGACGCCTTAGACGCGTTAAATTTAATTATCCAGAAAGTCTGTTTTCTGCGAATTTTTTTTTAATCATATTTTTCTGCAGACTTAGAAACAGATCAGAGGGTTTCCTCTACCCATTTTATTATTGTAGGCATATTTTTTCTATCACATTTGTACCAGTTTAACTTAAAACGTTGATATTATAGGTAAAACAGATTTAAAATAATATTAAAATGTGTAATCACCAATTCATGTTTAAGTGGAAACAAAATTATCGAAATGAAGTTTTTTTTATATATAACAAACTTGCATATACTTAATTCTCAATTGTTAACAGGAAAGTTCAACACAGGTATATCTACATGTATTAGTGTATAATAAAATGTTTTGTTAAAATAATCTTAAAATCATTATGTCAATTGTTTCACTTAAATATACAAAAATTAACTCTTTTACCTAACATGGATATTTATGATCAATACAAAGTTTACTCTATTGTGAAAGTGTTAAGTATTCTAAATTAAAGAACAAAGCCAACGAGTAAATGCTCTAACGAATTTGAAAGCCAATAGTAATACAATCCAAAAATCTTATTTTCCAAAGTATTTTTTTCTAACTTCAGAGCTCTGTTAAACGGGTATGAATAGTTTAAAGAGTATACTTTAAAAGATAGCGTGGATGTTTGATATCTGCCTATGGGCTATGGTTGAGACTTAGACTATAGATATAGTACTAAACTAGTGACTAAATTAATACTGTAACTCATAAAATAAGTTTGAATAATTAAAAATGACGTCAGTGTCTACACCATCGTCTTTAATGTCAGAAGCGTTAGATATAAAATCCGAAGATTCGGATCAGGAGCCAGCACCAGCACATAAACACGTGATCAAGCGTCCAGAAGCACCGAAGCAAGAAGAGGTTGATTTTATTAAAAGAACATGTGACCCGTGCAAGTTTGAAAATAAGGACAGTAAAGCACACGGCTTCTGTCGCATGTGTAGGGAGTACCTGTGCGAAAAATGCGAAAAGTTTCACCGGAAGTTTCAAGCAACAAGAAGTCATAAGATTGTCCATGGAGTGCAAATGCCGAGACCCGTGAAGAAATCGATGACTGTCTGTGAGCATCATAAGAATAACCCTGTGGAATACTTTTGCAAAGACCATGGTGACGTCATATGTCTTGATTGTAAAGAGATTAAACACAAAATCTGCGATAGTGTTGTCTCATTAAAATTCTTCGGAAGCACTGAAATTGAAAAGGGAGAATTTGAAAAGATGAAGAAAGAAACAAAAACAATTGTTGAAGATTTCAAGAACATCCTCGTTTTGAGAAAACAAGACATTAACGATTTGGAGGAAGAGAAAAGCAAATGCATAGGTACAATAAAAGAGATAAGAAATGATTTCAACAGCCTACTTGACAAACTGGAACGAGAATTGTATGATGAGGTGGATACTATCTTTGAAAAAGAGAACAAAATTATGAAAGACCATGTTGAAATATGCGAAAAGGCGATGAAGATGCTAAACATTGTTATCGAAAATGTAACAGAAGTAAGAAAGACAGAGGATAATATTGCTAGTTTCGCAACGTACACGAAAGCGAAAAGGAAATTAACAGACTACGAGAAGGTTTTGAAACATGTAAAAAGAGAAGCCTATATCCCAGAGATTGAGATCATTCGTGACGCACAAGTGGTGGAAAGTCTGGATAAACTTGAAACATTAGGAGATACAAAATTGAAGATTATTCCGAAAGCTTTTCATATAGATTTAAGTGACTTGAAGAAAGAAAATATGAGAGTCGTTGAAACACTTGTTCATTCCGTTCGTATGCCGGACGACGATGATAAACACGATTGCGAAATAACTGGATCTGCTTTTCTTGATAATGGAAGTCTTGCCATTTGCGATAAGCACAACTACAAAGTAAAGTTGCTGGACCGTCACTTTAAATGCAAATTCGATATCAAACTCAATGCAGCTCCTTGGGATATTGCAGTAGTGAATGATAAATGGGTGGTCGCTACACTTCCTTTTGTAAAGAAGCTCCAGTTTCTAAACGCAAATATACTTGAGGGTATAACTAAAGGCAGAACGATTGAAACAGACCGGATGTGCTGGGGTGTTGCAGTATCAAAAGAGGATATTCTGATCTCTTGTCACGATAACCCTGGAAACGGTAAAGTGTACGTGCTTGATAAACGTGGGCACACCAAGAAGATTATTGGAGCTGCCTCGGAGGACTACTCATTCTTGCTTGAAATGCCCTCTTATCTAGCGGTGAGTTTCGATGGCGAAAAAGTATTTGTTGCCGATGGTGACGTCAAAACCACGGTTACTTGTATGTCGAGGAAGAATGGACAAATCATTTACGATTACTGTGCTTCGAATTTCGGTTACTCTATGCAAACTAATGATGCCGTTTATCAAAATCCATGGTCCTTCAAGATAATTGTGGATAAAGACAACTACGTGTTTGCTAATCTGGGGGATAAAGAAATGATACAGATCATAACAGACACCGGAGTTCAGCACAACACACTGTTGAGGAACACAGAAAAACTTTTCGGTCCTCACACAATGTCATATCGGGATTCAGATGCTACTCTGATCCTTGGTCTTTGGGATCAAATCCAATCATTTAGGTTTAAAGAAATCGAGATTAAAACATGACGTATGTATGGATAATATTGCACCCTCCCAGATAAATAGAAACTATTACAAATTTAGATCTTTTTTCATATGTACATAATTTGCAGCGACAGATTATGTCGTTTTTTATCCACAGTGTGTATAATATGTACTTTTGTTCTGACAGAAATAAAGTGGCAAATGTTTCATATTACAGTGTAATGCATTGACTTGGATTATATTGCGTTGTATTGCAATGTGTTGTTCTTTATTTTGTCACATGATTTACAGAAAAAGTTATCCTGAAATATGCTCCAGAAAAAGTTATCCTGAAATATGCGCCGGTAGTGGTATGATGTTGCTATGCTTTAAGATTATAATCCAATGTATTTCCAAGAATGCTTTCAAGTCAAATAACTCTCTTGGGTTTGAAAGTGCTTTGTTTCATCTTCGATATGGTACCATATATGATCATATATTTTCAAGTTTAATACAACAATTTACATTTGGACTATAAATTTAACTGTTATTGAACTATAGGTCTTGCTTACTTCTGGGAGAATTTTTAGGTAATGTTCCTACCATCGATCTTTTTACCTGCATGTACATATAATTATGTAAGAATGAATAAACATTACAAAATGTGTGAAATAACGATCTGTATTTCCCTCTTTATGAAAGTCAATTGCAGATACTTTAACTATTCTTTGATTTGTTTGATTAAGTAGAAAGCTACAAGCTTTTTTACCTAGAAACTCTCAAAAGTTATCATTACTGTCGTATACAAACATGAGGAAGGACCTAAATACCTTTTAAACGTTTTCATTCATACTTTATTTATAGCGTCATTGAAGTTATTTCGAATTAAAACTATGAAGACTTTAAAAATCAGCAACATGGTGGGAGACCTCTTCAGACTAACAGAAATAAATAAATAAAAAAGGAAAAAAGCTTAAATAACGAAAACTAGGGTTCACGGAATGATATACTGTGTATCTTTTTAAAGTGAAATGGAAAAAAATATACCTGATTATATGAATTAAAGTATACATAATTACTCTCTGTTACGGATATTTAAAGTGAATTATTTCTTTCATTAATTTTTTATTCATTAAAGATCAATTAACAGAAGGTTAAAAGATAAGTGTTCACCATATAATGGTATCGACATATTACGGATCACACATTGTGGATGAACGAGAAGTTAAAAAACAAAACAAAAGAAAAATAGCTCCGGATGTTTATTTTGGTCCTATAAAAATGATAGTGTTTATAAAAGTCCAAATGGCGTCCGTAACATAAACTGTGAACATTGCCAATTTATGATGTAGAGCACGCGATAGATATAAATAATTGTATAAGTTAACATTTCCTCATTTGCCAACACAAACAGATGAAATAGTACACACAGGAGCCATGAAAATATACTAGCTTAGCTAATACGTTCAGAGGGCACTTAACGAGATCTGTACTAATATATAGTCACACTTTGGACATGTTTTTATCACCCACCATTTTAACGAGACAAAACTACTGGCCAGCATTCTTCCTAATAGGATTGTTTTATTAGAGTTAGTTCGGTTGTAGTTTTTGGGCTTTGTTACTTTTAAACTTTGACCCTGTCTGATAAAATATTAACATTTTATGGTTTGAATTTAGTTCGTTCATAAAGTTTACTTTAGATACTTTGCAAAAATTACATAGATATTGGTATGTACAGAGATATTATAAAACATGTGAAGACTACGTCTATTTTACCGCCCTTTAATCATAAATATCTATGTTTTCCGATAAGAAGGCCTAAAACAATACTTTTAAATGAAATTATACAATGGGTGTAAAAGACCATAATTTGAAAGACAAACTTAAATAAGATATAGTATGCTCATCCTTGATTAAAATATTTAAACCACAGAGATTTACTGCAAACTATGAACATCTAAATGCATATGTCTAATTTGAATAAAAGAATGAATGACCAATGCATAGGTAACCTATTGCAGGTCAAGTAAATATTTGGCCCTTTCTTTAATTATTAATGATACTGTACTGTATATTCATATCGTGACCACCTATAGTGTTAACAGTTTTAAGCATAACAATCTACTTTGTGTGAAGTCAAAACATGTTTATTTTATAGTTACCAAGAAGCATTGTAGCAATTATCAATATTTTCTAAAATCAAATAAGATCACAGTGTATATTTTAACAATTAATGCATGTATACGTATTCTGAAACAATAAAAAATCAAAATGATACAAAGGGTGTAAAAGACCATTATTTGAAAGGTATACTTAATATTTCTAATTTTGAGTGTTTTATTTTTCTTTATTCTTCTTAAAAAAAATTTTAGTTTCACAATGTAAAACATTTCAAGGTTACGCAAATTGATTAGAATTATATGAGTCAATACTTTATTTGGATAACATTGTACATGTATATCCAGCTAGTGTCAAGAACTCATTTCACTTAAGTAAATATATTTATGCATAAAGATATGCAAAGAGGTGTCTGTATGCTGATTTCAGCGCAACAATAATTCAATAGTTATTTCCGCCAAAAACATTTATGTACACACTGCGAAATGAATTTAATGAATAAATTGTTAATAGAATAGCCAATGTTTGTAGAGAACACCAGTCTTAGCTCAAAAATAGACGTCATCTTTGTACAAAAAAAAGAAGTTAAACTAAATAGACATCGATTATACATGTAATCTATCAGATATGTCTGAAATGTGTATAAACATGTTTTCACATTACTTTGCATAATATAGTTAAGCATGTAAAAAGATTCAAAGATGCTATAAAAGTGAATATCCCAAGATGCGGCCATGTTGATATAACGTTTTGAAATTGAGGGGAAAATCTTTTAATTTGACTTATTAAGCTTAAAATCAAATATAGTCATAAGCCCGACAAGTGATATGAACATAAAACGAATGTTGTATGGCTTATTTGCAATTATTACTCATGTACATTACCTCACTGCAGATTTGTTATGTTTACTTTTTCCATTATGTTTCATTTCACGTATAGGTTACTTATCATTACATAATATGTTATGTTATTTCTTTCGACAAAAATGTACAGTTTTGAATCAAGTTCATGAGAACTGATTTCTCCAAGACCTTCGTTGCGATGTTGAAAGTAGTTAATGGTTAAATTACTGTAAAATATTAAGAAGAATTTTTAATGAAGTGTGATAAAGTTATTGCGTGTAGCACGGACATGCCATGAACATTCGTGCGATATCACTATCTTTAATGGCTGTCAATTTGGTAGGTGGTTGCTAGCTACTTTTGCTACCTGACATTCCAATAACCAACACCTTCAAGCTGGTAGTTGATTATTCGTACTTCCCTGGTATTTGTAATTCCATCAACTATCACCAGCATGAAATCTTCGAAAAGTACTTAAAAAAAAACAACAACAAAAACACTGAATAAAAGAGAGGCCCCCAGTTGGTATAGCCTACCAGAAGGAAGTTTTTGCGGTTTTCAACTACATGTTCGTTATCTTAATATGTTTTGTTAACATTTTGACTTTTTTATTAATCTCACCATGCGCTTGGCAACGTGTGGGCTTTGTAATAGATACTTGAGATGAAAATATGGACTTACATAGACTAACCATGAACAAGATATATTGATTTAATGTCATTTAAGAGAACAGATAATATAATAAAGAGCATCGACAATTATAGCGGGTATATAGCCTAGTATTCCAAAATCCATATTAAATCCTTATTGTACTTGAATGGGCTGTATACAGCTGCTGGCGCCTCGTCCAATATATGTTTCACAGTTGTGCAATAGAGTTCAGTATCGTACACAACAATATATAATATAGATCATTATAAAATAATCATGGCATTTCAACATTATTTAACATTTGCAAGGCCATTAAGACGAATCACGCAGGTACAAGGAAAAACACATTACTAGCAAAGGAGAATTGCAATATTGCGTGTAGAACGGAATCAAACTAAGGTAAGACATTTAATACCAAGAAATATTACGAGAGGTTATAATACTTCTTGATAGGAAAATATGAACTTGATATATTTATGTGTTCAAGAAGTGTTTGTAAAGTGTGTATGTGCGTGCGTGCGTGTTTTGTTTTGCGTCGCACAAACACAATATAGGCCATAGGGCAACTTTCCAGTGTTACTGGTGGATGAAGACCTGAGATGCTATTCCGTACATTATTTCAGGCATAAAAGGGAACTTGTCACTTGTGACGTTCCATAACCTAGCCAGTAAGATAGCTTCCTCACGCGAAAGAAGCCAAAGTTCCAGTCGGGATTCGAACCCACGGTAAAGGACAAGTGGTTAGAGATCAATATCATTGAAACATATTCTAGTGCTATCCAAATATCAAGTTATTAAAGAAAAAATCAAGCGCGAATTCAATTTATAAGCATTTAAAAAAATTCAATATACGGACTGTAGGCAACAGAACGGTCAAGTGGAAATATATCCGATTCCAAGTTAGTCATCACGTTAATTAAACGTTAATATTAATAATATGGTCGTAATTTAATTATGGGGACCATTGTCAAGAAATTTACTAAAACTATGAAATAACTTCAGGGCGAGAGAAAACGTATTATAATTATTAAAAATGATAATTGCAATATTGCGTGAGAAACGGAATAACATTCCAAAAAAGAATAACATAAATGTAAAGCAAAACAATGACAAATAAAATATGCGAGCTTTTATTACTTGACACATGAATTCTAATGTGAAGGTGGATTTAATACGAAGTTAAAATGCACTAGTTAAAAAACTATAAAACCTGCCTTTGCAGCTGTTTATAAGGTATCTAGAAAATGTTAAATACTAAACGAAGTATGTTTTTTCTGCAATGACATTCGAACCGTTTTCTTTTGTAAATTAAGATTTCTATGTAAATTAAGTAAAGACAATAAAATGGATCATAAATAAAAGCCTTTATTAAAACAATGAATATAATTAAATAATTAAAGTATAGCTATAATGATTCCTTAACGGTATTAATGTCGAAGTTGAGTACTAACTCAAACAATCATTTTTTTTATATTTATCTCGTGCATTCTTATGACTGGTATTTAAATCACATTATATCCACTAGTGAAAAAACAAATGAAAAATGATAATATTGCACTTAAAGTTATACTTTGAATGTAAAATGTAAAATGACAAATTATTTTTTACATACAC